AAACTTATAGGTGGCCATCAGATCACCCTGAGCCTGTGCTTTTCCAGGCTAAAGAGCCCCATGGCTCTCAGCCTGTCGTCGTAAGGTCTGTTTTGCTGACCTCTAATCACGCACGTGGCTCTTCTCTGGACCCTCTCAAGCTTCTCTTCAAATCAACAGCCCTGCTCTAAACCAACTTTGAGGACCAAAGGAACCCTTATGACTGTATGGCCTGAATTCCTGCCCAATAAAGGCCAAACACCGACCTAAAGCACCAGCTATATAGCACTGAACCCACGGCTGCCATTTAAATAAATGCTGCGTTAAGGGGGCTGATTCTCCTTGAATATAGTTGTGTGAGTGTAGGAAAACATCATGTTTGCCCTCACTTTCCTTGCCAGGCTTTTGAAAAGATAATGGCTCTTTGATAGCCCTTAAAAGAAGAAAGATGTATGGTTTTACTACTGCTTCCTCCCTGGCATCACTTGAAGCAAGAGATTGAATGAAAAATAACTAAAAATTCTTACAGAATGAAGACCTAGAAAATCTCTTCTTCCTTTGAAGTAAAAAAAAAAAAAAAAAAATCAGAGATAACCATCATTCTTCTATTTAACAACTGGCGGATCCTGTGAAGATCTGACTGATTAGCTGGAGGAAAAAAAGATGTCAATATACATATGCTGTTCTGCTGCCTGTTTATGTACTCTGGAAGAGAAGTAAAAGCACAATGTAAACTAAATTATGCCACCACCAAGTTTAAATACACTGCCATAAGATTTATCTGGTGTTAGCTGTATGAGACCACACAGAATCACAGAAATGCAGGGCTGGAAGGACCTCGAAAGATTGAGTCCAACCCCCCTGCTCTGGGCAGGAGTACTGCTGAGGTCAAATGATCCTGGCAAGGTGTCAGTCCAGTCTCCTCTTGAAGACTTCCAAGGTTGGGCACTGCACCATCTCCTTGGGAAGTCTAGTCTGGATTCAGGTCACCCTTACCATAAAGTTCTTCCTTGCATCCAACCTAAAACCATCCTCTAACAATTTATGGCCATTGTTCCTTGTCTTCCCCTGGGGGTGCCCTAGTGAACAGGTTTTCTCCCAGCTCCTGATATTCACCCCTTGCATACTTAGAGACGGCCACCAAGTCTCCCCTCAGTCTTCTCCTCAGGCCGGACGGTCCCAGATCCCTTAGTCTTTCCTCATAAGGTTTGTCCTCCAGGCCCTTAACCATTCTTGTGGCCCTTCTCTGGACCCTTTTAAGGTTCTCCACGTTGTTCTGAAGTGCAGCACCCAGAGCTGGACACAGAACTCCAGCTGGGCTCTCACCAGTGCTAAGTAGAGAGGAAGTATCACTTCCTTAGCCCTGCTCACGATGCATCACCTATTGCATCCCCGTGTGCTATTAGCTGCAGTGTCGCACTGGTGGCTTGTGTTCATTTTGTGATTAACCATAACCCCAAGGTCCCTTTCAGCCGTTAGGCTGGCCAGGACATCTCCTAACCTATACTCATGTTGTATTTCACCACCATGAAATACAGAGGGAAATTATTAGAAAAATATGAATACTTACATAGTACATGTCATCCAAGGGCCTCGAATTGATTTTTGAAAAATTAACTGTTATTCCTGTCTTACAGAAAACGCAACTAAGGCACACAGACTGAACTCTGTCTGGTAGACCCAACTATTTCTCAGGTTGAATTAATGCTTTCCTAATTTGAAACTGGTTTGGAAAACTAGAACAATCAGAACAGCTTCCCATGGCAGTTTGATAAAAGATAAATGTGTTACAGTGCACAATGTATTTACAGGGATCAGCTTTCCCCATTTCAACAGGTAAAGCAAGTGTTTGTTTTTTCTTATTTGCTCTCCAAGATTACCTCGTCTTAAAATAAATCTGCATGCCAAACTTCTTGTCCTCTGATCCTTAGAGCCTGAAAAGTGACTTGAAATGCATACTTGGAAGAAAATGGCTTCTGCAGGAAGAAGAACGAGGAAATGCTTTGACTGTTGGAAAAATTACTACAAACTAAAAACCCTGATACAACAGTTAAACGTATCCGTATTTAATACAGAGCGTGTGATGTTTCGGATGGGAAATGTATGTAGAAGCCACGCAGCAGTTCTGAGCGTCACTTCTCTTTCAGCAGACTTTGTGCACCGTGTTCAGCCCCCTTCTGTACCACAGGGCAGGTGCCACAGGACCCAACAAGATGAAGACTGCTTGCGTGGCATCATTCAGATTACAAAACACCAGTGGACTTCAGCAGTGGACCAGAGCTAGAAATTTCCACCATCCACATTGCCTCAACGCCAAAACAAGATGGCTATTAATGCTAGAAACCCCCTCCTCCCTAGAGATGACTGGTAATACAGTACACAGTGGTGCACCCAGCTGTTTGCCATCAGACATGCTGACTCGTATATAGTTTTGTAAAAAAAAAGATTTTTCAATATCAGAAGCAAGTGGAATGATGCATTTTTTGCTCTTGGGCAAACCTAGAGGGGATCCCTGTACTTCTTCCAGGTAGGCTAGAATGGTTGGACTTCCAATTATTCCTTGCTAAGGAAAAAATTGTTTGCCATGCATCTTTTCTTTGCTTTTTAAGTTCCACGTTTTATATCTTGGTGATAAAACATCATTCAAACGTATGGTGCCATACAAATGATTCTCCTAATATTGTATGGTCAGATGGATTAAGATAAAAGACCTAATGTATAAAAATGATACTCCTCCCTCTGAATAAATAAATAAGCTTTGACATTCTTCTCCCCTAGACAGATATATGTATGTTGTCTTCTACTGCAGGAAATGGAGCCAGCTTGGAAGGTAGTTGGCCAAGAGCAATCAGCTAGCTGCTCCTCTGCTTCGCTTGCTGTTTGGAGCCTAGTTGAGCATGGGGTCAAGATCCAAAGCTCCTTCGATAATCCACCTCTGAGCTTGTCTTTGTTAATTAGCTGAAGAATTGTTAAGGGGGTGATTGTTTTCATATACCCAGCATTGATTTTAGAATAGGTGGATGACTCTCCCCTCTGCTACAAACATATACGCAATCTCTGCACTAGGCAAATAATACAGCTTTCAAAGTCTTAGTTATAATTAGAGGCATGATGGGAATGCAGGAGCACACCGTGTCACTCTGAACAGATACAGGAAAACAACAAGTAGCTAGTCACTTGTCTTTTAATTGGTAGCAGGATTGTTAGTGTTTGGCTTCCATCTCATTACGTACGAGAGTTCGATCAACTATTTTGTATTACAATAATTTGGAAAATAACGTTATATGAAAAAACCCATTACTGGTTAAACAAGGACCAACTTCTATAACAGGGATTACCAGACAGTGCCCCATTTGCTCACGAGAAATATGGCACAAAGTGAAGGGTGCTCCTCCTCACTATTAGGCCCAGTCCTCAGATACAGGCCAGAGGAGCTGCAGCAGCACAGATCACCAAGGCATAAGTACGCTACAACCACATCACCTAACCTGGCTGCAGGGAAGCCAGATGGCTGTATCCTACCCGGAGGCCGGAAGGCAAGATCCGCTATTGACTGGATGTAGGAGTGCTTTGCATGAATGGAGGGATGAAACAGAGCAGTGTACTGCCCCGTGCCGGGACTACTGTAATCCTTAAGATCTTAAAGTTACATTACAGTGGGCGCGTTTACATGTGCAATTAATGCACTCACTATAAGGTTAAACTGCACCCAGGAACATGTGCACCCACATCAAGAGCAAATTTACTCCCAATGGTCTGCTCCTGCTCTGCTCTGCCCTCCTACAGCAACCAGGGGGAGCTCCAGGCTCCCCTGGTGCCAGCCCCAGGGGTCAGGCCTGGGCTCCAGGGAGTTGTCCCAGAGTGGGAGACAGCTTCCACTCACATGGAGCTTGGGATCGCAGCCTGACTCAGTAGCACTGGCTTGGGGCGATGCCCCATGGCTGAGCAACATCTCCCCTTGCTGAAGTGATGGGGGGAGCTCTCTGTCCCCACAGTGCCAGGCTGGGGACTGAGAGCTTCCCCATCCCCTCAGCCCTGTTGCTGCCCTCACAGTGCACACCCCCATCGGCTCCTGCTCCCTGCCTGTGCCTGTGGGGAACTGAGCAGTGCTGGGGGAGGAGGGAGGGGAGATGCAATTACAATAACCAAATGGAGTTCACCAAAATAAAAAGGGCTTAAAGAAAGAACAGTAGAAGAGTGTGATTAGCAATACAAAGCTACAAGGAAGGCTGGGACCAGAATGAAAAATAAAGCGACATGGATGCAGACTGACCATGGTAGCAACGCTTTCTTCGGGCACGTTTGTCAGATCCCGAACGAATTTGATGTTTCAGCGTTTAGTCGCTTACTTAGAGCTTTGCCGACTTGCAGACTCCGAGAAGTGAGCGTCCTTAGCACGTTTGGTTGACGGTAAAGGACTGTGATAGGATCACGTCTTTGGCGGATGTCTGATCACAGTTCGCATGAATTCAGACCTTCAGAAGTGCTCGAGTACCTGTTCCTTGTAGCTACAAGGTGAAACCACTGAATGCAAACTGCCAACAAAAGATTAAAAGCAAGGCAGATACCCTTCTGTATAAGTACTATTCAAAAAGTATGTGATGTATTTCCAGCTATAAAAATTCTTCCCAGTTCTGCTGTTGTAAGCAAGAACAATCAAACCTAGAATAGAACATGTATAGAGTATGTAAAAGGATTACAAATCCAATTCAAGTAGTTAGTAGCCTGTCCTATACTCCTTAGATGTATTTGCATGACTTGCACAAAGAATAAGGGCCAAAATCAAATAGGATCCCTGCTTGCTTTTCCACTGCTTCAGTTTATTTTTTGTATCACCATCATCATGTTTTAATTTTGGTGTAGGCTGGTAGAATGGATAATCTTATTTTATGCTTTCACTAAAAAGTGCAAATGTTAAATAGTTTATTTTACCATACTTCTTTAGTGAAAGCTGTAAATAAACTACTGCTACTACTATAAATCTAATTCAAAACTTCAAATGAAATCACCAAGATTTTACTTTGGAACTAGAATCACAGAAAACAAGGGTTGAAGGGACCTCAGGAGGTCATATCTAGTCCAACCCATTCTGAACAGAACCAACCCCAACTACATCCCAGCCAAAGCTTTGTCTACCGGGGTTTTAAAAATCTCCAAGGGTGGAGACTCCACCATCTCTCTAGGTAACTTGTTCCAGTGCTTTACTACCCTCCTCATGAGAGAGTTCTTCCTAATATCCAACCTCAACTTCCCTTGCTGCAGCTTGAACCCATTGTTCCTTGTCCTGTCATCTGCCCCCATGGAGAACAGTCCAGCTCCATCCTCTTTGCAGCCCTGCCACAGGGAGCTGAAGGCTGCTAGTCAATCCCCCTTAGTCTTCTCTTTTGCAGACTAAATCAGCCCAGTTCCCTCAGCCTCTCCTCACCAGTCCTGTCCCCCAGCCCATGAACCATTTATCTTACCCTCCACTGAACTCTCTCCAATGTGTCCACATCCTTTCTGTAATAGGGGCCCACAGCTGGACACAGGACTCCAGATGTGGCCTCCCCAGTGCAGAATAGAGGGGAAGAATCACTGTCCTTGATCTGCTGGCAACGCTCCTACCAATGCACCCAGGATGCTGGTAGCCTTTGTGGCAACCAGGGCACACTGCTGAGTCGTATTCAGCTTATTGCCTGTTGTCACCCCCAGGTCCTTTTCTGCAGAGCTGCTGCCCAGCCAGTCAGCCCCCAACCTGTACTGGGTCTACATGTGTAATGTGCATAAAGATTATCTAAACATTTTTAATATGAATAAGTGATACAGCTGTAAAGTTAATTTAACACTGAGGAAATAGAGAGGACCCAAACTGAACGTCCCCCTGCCCCTTGGTGTCGCTGTCACTTTTGGTTGTCATAGAATAAATGACTGGCCTAGCCACAGGTGTCATACACGTGGTCCATGGGCTGAATGTGCATCTGGGTCGTAAACAGCCCTGCGGTCCAGATCTGGGTGGGGGCCTGGATAAATTTGACATCCCGGGTCAAACCTATTAACTAGGTATGACAGCAGTCTCGATTCAGAGTAGCACTTAAGCCTTGTTATTCCACCCCTTGAATCCAGTAAAATAAAAAACAAGAAACAAAAAAGTCTGACTAAAGATTTAGAAAAGAAATATTTGACATTATAAACAAATTAAAAAATGTAATTCTCTCTGCAAAAAACAATCAAAATTATAAAGATCAGACGCAGCACAGTAAAATATCAATATTTAATATGTATTACAGAGCAGTCTGTATAGATTATTTTTGTTGTGCATCTAGGTAGTACTAAATCACCCATTTTCCCTACGTTTACTAGAAGCCAGACTGTAAAATATCACATTCTAATTTTCCTCAGTGATATGAAATCACAGATAGGTCTGTAAAATGCAATGCATGCTTTGGCTTAAATAAAAAGAACAATTTTGTAATGGTTTTACTCAAAAATGTCATAAATTAGAATGCAGACACTTAGGGAAACTATTCGAATAGATGGCAATCGTTTGCCGCCATCTTGAATCATAGAGAATGTGCATGAATTATTTATTCAAACTAGTTCCATTATGTTAGATTTAGCAGTGAATTAAAAAAAATCCTTATATTTTACAATATATTATTTATAGCAATTTGGAAGAAATTCCACTCTAAACAGGGATTCATTGTTAAACTACATTAAAAAAATCTCTCTTAATTTGTGTTCGAGATTTTAAAAAATTAATTTAAAAATTGTTGGATAACCTCATAGCAACTCAAGTACAAGCTTGCCATTTTCAAATATATAAATATTTTCAGATCCCATTAACAAAAAACAGGAGGGAACAGGGATGGTTACAGCGCTCACACGTCTGCGCAAAAGCATATATAAAGGTAATGTTATGTACATTTTATTTCAATAAAGACATAAGACAAACAGCGTAAAGATGCCCAGATGCCCTAAAGATAAATACATTTAAAAGATTCTCATTAAAATGAATCTGTAGTATTTCTTTCCTGCAAGCAAAATACCTTTCTTTAAATACAAAAAAAATCAGTATTCTGAATTGCAAATGCTTTCACTTTTTTGCAGAAAATCTGCCATGATGATTTTTTTTTTAATGAATAAGGATTTTCCACGAAACAGGCTTGCTCTACATGCTATTTTTTAACAGTTCAGTGACACAATGTGCTAGCTACATACACAACAGATAATATAGTAAGAAAACACTCAACCTGATGAAAAGTTAAAATCTTCATTAATACACTGGAAAAAGTTGACATAACTCATGCCTTTTAAAATCAAAAATACAAAAATTAAATGTTTTCCTAAAAAGATTTTTCCTTATTTTAAGGACTCATTTGAAAATGAAGCTGCATGTAATTTGTACAATAAAATTGTACAAGTAAACAGGTAATATACATAAAAAATTAATTGACATACTTCTCAA